GGATGAGATGGTTGGACAGTTTCATCGAAGCAACCAGCATGAATTTGACCAAATTCTGGGAGGCAGTGGAAGACAGGAGGGCCTGGTGTGCTGTGGTCCATGGGGTCACAAAGAGTCGGACATGACTAAACGACTAAACAACAACAAAAACAAATAGTAATATAAATTTAAATAGTTAACAATTATCTGCTTTTTAAAATGACATCCAAAATCTAGAGACTGGAAATATTAATCTCTCAGATTACGAGAGCCAGAATTCTCTTGGCAGCCCCGTATAGGCCTCCTGTCAAATTCTCTGAATGAAGTGGTGTGGCTGTGGGGTAAAAAGACGAGGGAAGTTCTATTTTTGTACTACTAATAAATAATAGTCACATGCCATCAAGGCAATTCTGATTTATGGCAACCTTTTTCAGGCTTTTCCAGATAGAGAGTACTCAGATATGGTTTACCATTCCCTGCTTCTGAGTGGCAAACTGGGACTGTGCAGCTTGCCCAAGGCTACACAGGCTGGCTCTACTCACAGGAGACACAGTGGGAAATCAGAATCCCAACATCTGGCACCACAGTCTAAATCACTGGTTCTTAACCTTGGGTTACTCAGGAGTTTTGGACTGCAACTCCCAGAAGCCTTCACCACCAACTGTGCTGGCTGGGGTTTCTGGGAGTTGCAGTTCAAAAACATCCGAGTAACAAAGGTTAAGAACCACTGGTCTAAATCACTGAACTATCCAGCCAACGACAACTCCCCAAATAACCCAGCCAAGGACCACACTGGCTGGGCTACTCCAGGAACTGTAGTGCAGAAAAAATAGTTTCCCCATCTTTGTTATCTTGAACCACCCAGAGAAAATCCTGTAAACATTAAGCTTGTCTTTTGCATTTACTGCACAGCTCTCTGCTCTTTTTTAAAAAAATGGGATTGCTCTCACTTTCCTGGCTTTTATGAAGGATGCAAAAACAAATCTTTTTAAACTTGCCTATAAATGTTTAATATACAGTGTTGCTTTTAACTGTAGACTTAATTGATTTCAGTATTTTTATGGTAGCTTGGTTTTTTAAAATGTTTTTAGGGTTAAATTTTAGGATTAAAATAGGTTTCGATTGTTTTTGTTGTTTTATGAAGATCTACTTTTATTTGTATCAGAGTGTTGCACAGTTTAAAATAATAGGTGGATATACCCGTATTTTTCCATGAATAAGACGCCCCCCCATGTATAAGACCCCCCCCCACTTTTCTAACCCAAAATTAAGAAATCTAAGTGGGGCTTAGCAAGTGTACGGGGAAAAAGGATCAAAGCACTGCAGGATCACTTTGATCCCTGCTTTCTCCTCCACTTGGTTTTTCTCTCACGAGCTTACTTCCGTGTATAAGATGACCCACAATTTTTAGTCTAAAGATTTTAGACAAAAGTATAGTCTTATACATGGAAAAATATAGTAAAATATAGAAAGTTCAAACAAATTTAAAATATTAAAAGGATTAGACTATTTTGACCAGGAGTGGGCTACTTCAATTGCAATTAACGAGATCTTGAACATATATGGTGAGGCATAAACTGCATGCACATAAATTGCTTACAGTAGTGACCCTCTTATATGTGAGATCAGTGTCCACTTATTCACTTATTAAAAATATTAGAAGAAAAATTGTAAAAAATATATTTCTAACAATGAAGTTACCACAACTGGCCATTAGAGGCACCCCAAGACCATGCTATGTATAGTGGTAACTATTTAAAAAGTGTTCGCTATATTCCATGTTTTTCAGTATTCACATGGGGGGGCCTTTGGAACCAATCTCTCGCAGATACAGGGGTCCTACTGTACTTTGTCTAAGAAATGCAGAGTAAAAATGTAAGATGAAAATAAATGAAAATAAATCATAAAAAGGGAATGTTAGTCTGGAGGTTTGAGTGCCTGGACTTTTAGTTCTTTCTTTTTGACTGGTTTGGTTTGCAGAGTCTTGCATGAACTGGCTGGAAACACAGGAGCCTGGATACGAATCCTTTGAGGTGGGGCACCTGGCCCAGTTGCAAAATGTCCAAGCCTCTTACCCACAGCACTCCCTGGACACGGTCTATAGCCAGGGTGGAATGATACCTACGGAGAACACCTGCCTGGCTTACAAGGAAGAATGCAACAGTCAGGTGAGGGGGATAATGTCCCATACCTTTGGGGAAGGGGGATGAGAGTCAGGACTACTGGGGTCCAGAGAGTCAGGGAGAAGAAAGCTGGGATCCTGTGGTTTTTACACAAGGGGAATCGAGTGTGCACAGGAAAGGACTGCATCTCTGCTTAGAATGTGCAAGGAAGGGTACCAGAACGGTGACTGGGTTTTTTCTTTCCTATATTCCTTAGAAATTTTCCTTCCTGATTTATACACCACTGAAGGGTTTTGCACAGAGGGCTGCATTTCATTTAAACCAAGAAAACCTTCCTGATTTATACACCACTGAAGGGTTTACATAGAGGGCTGCATTTCATTTAAACCAAGAAAACAAGAGGCATCGTTCAGAAAGACATGGGAAAAGGCCGCCCACGTTAAGAACCACTGATTTAAACCAAGAAAAGAAGAGGCATCGTTCAGAAAGACATGGGAAAAGGCCATATGGTTCAGGGTTACACAAATGCAAGGCGATACCTTTATTGGACCACTAAAAATAGAAGGGGATACCTTTATTGAACCACTAAAAATCATACAGATTTCAAGCTTTCATGAGTAAGATTTACTCATGAACGTTTGACATTTGCATGATTTTTTAAAGTGGTTCAAAAAAAGGTATTACCTTACTCTTGCAAGAAACATTACTGTAATGGAGCTGGGTATTACAGTAGGAGTGGAAGTTCTCCCCTGCCCCTATCAGTGCCCCCCCAAATATAGTCCCCAGAATAGCCTCTACGATCCCTTCACGTTTGTTGAAGACTGGGTTTCCCCAAGCCAGCTGCTAAAGGGCACTTTCCTGGGGGACCCAGTTTGTGGGTGCATAAGTTGGATGTCTAAAGCCCAATCTTCATCATACTTGGAGGGACTGTAGGGGAGAGTCAGTAGAAGCTCCCCTGTGATGCTGGTGTCTCTAGGTGCCTGGGGGGAAACTTTCCTGGGGGGCCGGGAACATCCTGCCACTGGTTGGAGGGAGAGGAGAAGGCAGCATCATGCCTTGGCCTGAAGAAATAATGGGGTGTATAACTCAGATGTCCAAAAACCAAACTTGCAGGGCTTGTAGAGGAGAGTCAGGGGAAGGTTCTCAGTGAATTTGGTGTGTCTGGGTCTTTGGGGGGCTGTTTTATAGGGTGTTGAAGTAAAAAATGAATTGACAAATTGATACATCAATTAATCAGAAAAAAATCATAAATTTGTAATTTGTGATTCATCAACCTTAAAAAATCATGAATCAACGAATCACCACTTTTCCGATCTGTGCCCATCTCCAGCTGAAACATAAAGTACATCAGCGTTGCTTGATTCCCAATGGGCTATTAAGACCCATTAGGTTTATAAAAGACCTATGCCTGCTAGAGATAAAAGGGCTAGAAAGGGTTTGTTGACATGGATCAACCTCATTGCCTGCATTTTTAGACACTGCTTGAAGATGTTACTGTGGTGACTATCATACAGAGCACAGGTACTTGAAAATTTATCACCACACCCTTACAACAGGAGATCTATTTGTGCCTGTAAATTTAATCTTTACTGGTTAGAACTGAGAAATACTCACTGGAAATACCAAACTTTTTATCTTTCTTTTTTGGCTTGATCTCCACAGATCTACCTCCCCTACTATGGCCAGTATCCTGTGCCCAGGGAAGTTTCGAGCCCATCATCTGAAGAGGAGGAATTCCATGGAGAGAGCCGGAATCTGGAAGTGTCCTCTGACAGTGATTTGGAAGACAGTTTCTCTCCTGGGTTTGATTCAGGTGGGCACAAGAATTGGGTTTTAGTTTTGGAGGAAAGGAGAGCCTCCATACGTAGGATAGAAGTCCATGGTGATCTATCCACTGTAGCTCAGACTAGTCCTGTGTGCCATAAGCACACACACAAAAAATCTGAGCACAATAGGATAGGTCAAGCGGATGAACTTACACAGAGACTATATGTCAAGGTGCTAAAAATAGTATTACAGTGGTGCCTCGCTTAACAATTGGCCCATGTTACAACGAATCCGCTTTGCGACGATCTTTTTGTGATCGCAATTGCAATCGCAAAACGATGGTCTAAATGGGGGAATTTCGCTTAGCGATGATCGGTTCCCTGCTTCGGGAACTGATTTTCGCTTTACGACGATCAAAAACAGCTGATCGTTGGGTTTTCAAAATGGCTCCCCGCTGTGCTTAGGGATGGATTCCTCGCTGTACAGGCAGCGAAAATGGCCACCGTATGGAGGATCTTCGCTGGACGGTGAGTTTTTACCCCATTGGAATGCATTGAACGGGTTTCAATGCATTTCAGTGGGGTTTTTAATTTCGCTTTACAATATCTTTGCTTAATGGTGATTTTCCTGGAATGGATTATCGTCGTTAAGTGAGGCACCACTGTACTACTAGTACTGTGTTTTCCCGAAAGTAAGACAGGGTCTTATATTAATTTTTGCTCCAAAAAATGCAGTAGGGCTTATTATCAGGGGATGTTTTTTTTTTCCAGGTACAACAGTCTACATTTATTCAAATATAGTCATGTCATCTTCTGGTTGCTACCCAATGCTGCACAAGGGCGGAGGGCGAGGTTTCACTTAACTGGGGCTTATTTTGGGGGTAGGGCTTATACTACGAGCATACTGAAAAATCATATTAAGGCTTTTTTTCAGATTAGGTCTTATTTTGGGGAAAATAGGGTAGTGACAGTGATACTACTAGTAGTAACAGCAGTACCATAATAACTCACATGCCATTTCTAACTCACTTTGTCATAGTTCAACAACACACCTATCTACACTGAAATGACATAGGAAGTAATTATAGTCTCTCTCAGAGGTCGCTGGGATATTCCTCTTTGCCTTCCTTGGCTTCTTCTGTACGTATAAAGAAGCAGTGCCTGCATACAGTCCTTGACATTCATTCATTCATTCATTCATTCATTCATTCATTCATTCATTCATTCATTCATTCATTCATTTATCCAGCCATCCATTCATTTAAATACAGAGCCACATCTGCTTGTGTGAAGCCTCTTAATTAGGGTTTGCCAGTAATAGATAATGCAGGAATAGATAATCCAATCTGTCTGGATACGGTCCTCTAGATTTTGATTGGCTGCAACACCCCATCAGCCCCAACCAGCACACCAAAAAGGTTAAGAACCACTGCTGTAGATTTTGATTGGCTGCAACTCCCCATCAGCCCCAACCAGTACACTTAATGTTGAGGGATGATGGGAATTGTAGTCCAGCAATATCCAGAAGATTGACTGTTTTCCATCCCTGCTGTAAAAAGGAGAGACTCTCTGGCATCCAGTTCAAACAGCAGTTAAAATCTTTCTGAATATAATCTGCCACAACCAAACTACCAAGGCACATCCTTCCTCAAACTAATGTGAAAAATTTCTAATCCTCATCGTTTAGCGAAGAATGCTCAAAGGTGTACCACCCTTGGCTGCCTGGAAAAGCGGCAGCTGTGGATTTTGTAGTTCTCTGTTGGAGAACACATCCCCTTGGTTGAGGTGCAGCTGGCGAAACTTCCCACACGTTCACCCTTGATTGTTTTTGTCTCCCCCTTCAGGCTCCCGCCGGAAGCTGCGCCTTTACCAGTTCTTGCTTGAGCTCCTGGAACGCGGAGACATGAAGGAATGTGTGTGGTGGGTGCAACGCGAGGCAGGCATCTTCCAGTTCTCCTCCAAGCACAAGGAGATCCTTGCACACCGCTGGGGACAGCAGAAGGGCAACCGCAAGAAAATGACCTACCAGAAGATGGCCCGGGCCCTGCGCAACTACAGCAAGACAGGCGAGATCCGCAAAGTGAAGAAGAAGCTCACGTACCAGTTTGGAACCTCACTGCTGGGTCAGTCGGCCCCTTCCTAAGGAGTACAGAACTGGGACGGTATCACTCAGAAACAGACCTCCAAGCAGACCTCCCCTCTTTATGGGTTTTCCCTGCAACCCCATTTCTGGACTGTATCAGTCAAGCTGCATGAAGGCATTCACTCCATGGTGGATACAGATATGAAGAAAAAGAAAAGAAAAAGTGTCCGTATCAGATACCAAAGGGAAGGCTGGATGGAAAGGTGCCCAGATCCTATATTGGAGAGGGTGGGGGTGTTTCTGCACTTTAGTGGGAAGGTTCGGGGACCAATTCTAACATATCTGGGGTTTGGGACTGGGGTCAGAGTTTGGAAATAATGTGTTACAGGCAACACATCTAATTGCAATGATCTGATTTTTGTTTGGTAATATATAATCTTAGAAATGCAGAGCTGGAAGGGGTCCTATGGATCATCGACTCCAGCCCCTCTCAAGGAGACACAGCGAAGAATCAAACTCCCAACCACTGTCTCGGCAGCCAGATACCTAAGCTGCTGAGCTGTCCAGCAGTCCTGAGGGTAGAATGAAGTTACTATTCAAGAGTAACGTAACAATTGGCCTTGATATCACTCTGCTGGTCTAACTAGTTATGGTTTCTAGTTACTTTTCAAAGTTACGTTTTGTGGCATTTTCAGAGGCTTTCCCCACAAACCAGCGGTCAGGGAACAGGGATAAATTACCCCAAATGGGGTAAAAATGAAAATCCTGGGGGTAATGAGGATGCAACCCTAATCCCCTTCCCTCCTCCTCCTCCTCTTCCTCCTCTTCCTCCTCTTCTGCCTGGAGGGGGGTCCTCGGCTGTCTGATTGCCCCCTTTCCGCCCCCTTCTCCGGCATGGCTGCATCAAGCAGACCTCCCCTCTTTATGGGTTTTCCCTGCAACCCCATTTCTGGACTGTATCAGTCAAGCTGCATGAAGGCATTCACTCCATGGTGGATACAGATATGAAGAAAAAGAAAAGAAAAAGTGTCCGTATCAGATACCAAAGGGAAGGCTGGATGGAAAGGTGCCCAGATCCTATATTGGAGAGGGTGGGGGTGTTTCTGCACTTTAGTGGGAAGGTTCGGGGACCAATTCTAACATATCTGGGGTTTGGGACTGGGGTCAGAGTTTGGAAATAATGTGTTACAGGCAACACATCTAATTGCAATGATCTGATTTTTGTTTGGTAATATATAATCTTAGAAATGCAGAGCTGGAAGGGGTCCTATGGATCATCGACTCCAGCCCCTCTCAAGGAGACACAGCGAAGAATCAAACTCCCAACCACTGTCTCGGCAGCCAGATACCTAAGCTGCTGAGCTGTCCAGCAGTCCTGAGGGTAGAATGAAGTTACTATTCAAGAGTAACGTAACAATTGGCCTTGATATCACTCTGCTGGTCTAACTAGTTATGGTTTCTAGTTACTTTTCAAAGTTACGTTTTGTGGCATTTTCAGAGGCTTTCCCCACAAACTATAAAGTTCCACGAGAACCTCTTATCGATCCTCAGGTTACCTCCTCCAAAGTAGCAAAAAGAATTACAGGAGAGCAACAAATAATGCATTATACAATGTAGTGACTTAGTTTTCGAACACTGAAATAAGCAACAACAACGAATAAAAGTTAAGAGTGGTCGCAAGACCAGATAGGCGGGATATAAATGAAATAAATAAATAAAATAAATGCAGTAGCGAGTAACAGGGTAAAATTACTTGTAAATACAGTGGTGCCTCGCTTAACGGGCGCCCCGTTTAATGACGAAATCTCATAGCGATGAAGATTTTGCAATCGCAAAAGCAATCGCATTGCGATGTTCCCTATGGGGGAAAATTGCTTTGCGATGATCGGTACCCTGTTTCGCTTACCGATCATCGGAAAGCGATGATTTTTAACAGCTGATTGGCGGTTCCAAAATGGCCGCTGGGTAAAAAAAATGGCTACCCGCTGTTTTCTGAAATGGATTCCTCACTTACCGGGCAGCGAAAATGGCCGCCATATGGAGGATTTTTGCTTTAAGGTGAGTCTGAAGCCCATAGGAACACATTGAAGGGGTTTCAGTGCATTCCTATGGGCTTTTTAAAATTGCATAGCGATGAAATCGCTTTGCAGTGATTTTTGCTGCACCGATTATCGTCGCTATGCGAGGCACCACTGTATCTAACTTTCAAGCTGCCTAGGATGGTTGAAGAGGGGACATAACACAGTAGGGACAAGGCTGGACATAAACTTTGAGGGAGCATCAAGGGCTTGGAGATTACCAACCAAGGTCCATGGTGGAGGGGCAAGTGCAACACCTTATACCTTTGGATACCTCCAGCCAATTGGCCTAAAGCCTTCTGGGACCTGAGAAGGTGACCTTTCATGTATTCCTTGGAGTTGAAGATTCCTGACATCCATCACAGGGGACCGAAGCATGTACTTTTCTTGGAGGAAGTGAAAAGAAATGTGAGGAGGCCAGTGCCAATGGCAAAAATTTCACTGCGGAAAGGAAGGCGGGGAGAGTGGTGGTATTTGAGTGGGTTGCTGGCTGGGCTGTAGTTAAAGCTTGGAGCAAAGATTGTCCCTCGATCTCTCTCCAATCCAACTAGGATGCTCAAGACTCTGGTCAGTAGCCTAAAGAAGAGGATGCCTTGTGACTGAATGCAAACGTCTTGGATGTTGAGGGTGGGCGGGAAAGGTCATCTCATCTGGTCAGCAAGGACGGAGATTTCAAACTTCCACAAAAACTCTTGGTATACATTTACCAAGTTGAGATGTTTATTTAATGCTATAATTTTGTTTTTGTTTTTTTTTAAGCTCTCAAACGCCTTTGTACAAAATATGATTATTTTTTAAATGGATCACTTTTGTAAAAATTGTAAAATTTTGCAAATAAAATAATATGGTGAAAGAGTATGTGCCTCTCTCTTTTTTGGCCCTATGTTAATCTTGCTTGCAAGTTAGGTCCACAGAAATCTCTTTTGCTGACTCCCATGTTTGCATTTTTAAAACCTTGACTTCCTTTTGTCCAGAGTATGAAGAAATGTTTGGATTTACTTAGTACTTCAGAAATGAACCAACCCACAAATGCTTACCCTTTTGCGCCAGAGAAGTGCAACAAGTATGGTTGTGCCCAACATGAAGAGGACTGTGTTATGCTGCTTTGCCATATAGCTGTTAGAGGAGTCTATGGGGATGGGTGAGGAAAAATGGTAGCAAAATCTCCTTCAGCATGAACATGGTTTGATCCACAGGGGTTTAAACCAGACATCTCACACATAAGTGCTTGAAAAACCTGGCCAGGATAGTCAAATCTCACAGAGAGTGTGTTTAACTTGAGAAAAGAAGACAGAGGGGTGATAAAATAACACTTTTCAAATACAGTGGTGCCTCGCATAGCAATGTTAATCCGTGCAACAAAAATCGCTGCAAAGCGATTTCGTCGCTATGCGATTTTTAAAAGCCCATAAGAATGCATTTAAACCCCTTCAATGTGTTCCTATGGGCTAAAAACTCACCTTTAAGCGAAGATCCTCTATATGGTGGCCATTTTTGCTGCCCGGTAAGCGAGGAATCCGTCCCTAAACACAGCGGGCGGCCTTTTTTTTTAACCCGGCGGCCATTTTGGAACCGCCAATCAGCTGTTGGAAAATCATCGCTATGCGATGATCGGTAAGCGAAACAGGGTACCGATCATCGTAAAGCGATTTTTCCCCATAGGGAACATCGCGATGCGATTGCTTTTGCAATCGCAAAATCTTCATCGCTATGTGGTTTCATCGTTAAATGGGGTGCCCGTTAAGCGAGGCACTACTGTATGTGAAAGGCTGTCGTACAGAGGAGGGACAGGATTTGTTCTTGATCATCCCAGAGTGTCCCAGGACACTCAACGATGGACTCAAGTTGCAGGAGGCCAGATTTTGGTTGAATATCAGGAAAAACTTCCTGTTAGAGCAGTACGAGAGTGGAACCACTTACCTCAGGAGGTAGTGAGTGCTCCAACATTGGAGGCATTCAAGAGAAACTTGGACAACCACCTGGCAGATATCCTTTGATTTGTATTCCTGCATCGAGGACTTGATGGCCTCATAAAAAGGTAAAGGTAAAGGTTCCCCTTGACATTTTCAGTCCAGTCGTGTCCGACTTTAGGGGCTGGTGCTCATCCCGTTTTCAAGCCATAGAGCCAGCGCTTGTCCGAAGACAGTTTCCGTTGCCACATGGCCAGTGTGACTAGTGAACGCTGTTTTACCTTCCCACCGAGATGGTACCTATTTATCTACTCGCATTTGCATGCTATCGAACTGCTAGGTTGGCGAGGAGCTGAGACAAAGTGACGGGAGCTCACTCCGTCACGTGGATTCGATCTTACGACTGCTGGGCTTCTGACCCTGCAGCACAGGCTTCTGCAGTTTATCGCACAGCACCACCACGTCTTCACTATTCTATGATTCTATGAGTATATTGATGGGGTAGTTTATAGACCAAGCATGAGGTGGGACTAGGTCCAGTCAATCTGCCTATGTGTATAGGAATTCCTTGCTTTCATATACTATAGATCAGGGGTCCCCAACCCCCGGTCTGTGGACCGGGACTGGTCTGTGGCCTTGGCAGGACCAGATCACGGAGACAGATCTCCCACCCCCCGGCACACACAGATGCACACACCCCCACGGACTCACACACACACACATCCCTCCCATGCATGCAAGATGTACTCCTGCAGGCATACACGCACGCACAGACACCCCCCATGCATGCTAATGCTAAACCGGTCCGTGGTGTCAGAAAGGTTGGGGACCACTGCTATAGATAACTTCTTATGTACACCAGGGGGCTTTGAAGTTAACCATCAACACTTAGCACCTGGACAGCAAACTGCAAGCAAAACTAGAGCTGCCAATAGTTCCACCCTTACCCCCCCACAGGGAAGTGTGTTGAATTCTTATGTTAGAAAGTAAGTATAAATTCACATGCACACTTCTGTGCCCTCTTTTGTGGGAATGCTGTTGTCTGATGATATAGGTGGCCACCCAAGGAAACACATATTCTTACTCTTCAAATGTGTATGCGCTGGTGGGAAAGTGTCGTTGCGGGGTTCCTCAAAACCTAAAGTCCTGACTTGTGTTTGCAGCCTGCATTTTGCAACTTGCTTTTAAGAGTCAAACATGGCATGGACATCTGCCATGATTGTTGGGATTTCCGTATATTTTTCTGCATTGTCTACAGTATATTGGTTCACAGCCTGATGAAGACTGGTTTGGGTTGAAAGCTAGCATTTTTATAAAATAATTTTTAATTTTTCAGTGGTCTAATAAAGGTACTCCCCCCGCCCTTCCTTCCGTATTTTCCAAAGAAAACTTCTCTCATGACCACGTGAGGGCGCTAAA